CATAATGAATAGTCAATTAGTTACCAAGATCATGTTATCTCATCAAACCATCCCCTTCATAAACCCATCTAGTTTAATCTTGAAACCAGATAGATCTTTTGCCCCCACTACTTCCCTTGGAAGGCCGTTCCGGAACCTCGCTCCTCTAATGGTTAGAAACCTTCGTCTAATCTCAAGTCTAAACTTCCTACTAGCCAGCTTATATCCATTTGTTCTTGTGTCCACATTGGTATTAAACTTAAATAATTCCTCTCCCTCCCTGGTATTTATCCCTCTAATATATTTAAAAAGTGCAATCATGTCCCCCCTCAGCCTTCTTTTGGTTAAAGTAAACAAGCCAAGCTCCTTGAGTCTCCTTTCATAAGACAGGTTTTCCATTCCTCGGATCATCCTAATGGCCCTTCATTGTACCCGTTCCAGTTTGAATTCATCCTTCTTAAACATGGGAGACCAGAACTGCACACAGTATTCCAAATGGGGTCTCACCAATGCCTCGTATAATGGCACTAACACCTCCTTATCCCTACTGGAAATACCTCGCCTAATACATCTCAAGACCGTATTAGCAATAGCTGAGCAAGCAGCCCAGCCATATTCAGGGATTCAGGGTTACCTGCTGGGGCAGCCTGCCAGCTGTGGGTGACGGGCTTGGAGGCCAGTGGCAGGAGACCTTCCCTGGTCCGGCAAATTCTCTTGTTTGGGACAGGTCAGGTCCTGACAATGCTGGTTGTTTAAACCTGTACCCAGCACTTGAGAGGAAAGTGATAAACCCCAAGGATTTCTGCTAATCTGACCAAAAGGAAAATTCCTTCCCGACACCAAATATGGTGATCAGACTCTGAGCATGTGGGCAAGACCCACACCTGGGAAAGAATTCTCTGTGGTAACACAGAACTTTTCCCCACCTATTGACCCATCAACTCAAAATAAGCGTTAGTGCTGTTTGGAGAATTGCAACAAAAATGAAGTTTGGATGCAAAATTGCAATTAAAAAATGTCCCTGATTGTCCCATTTTCTGACCTGAACTGAGAAGATTGTAGATGAACTTTTCTGGTGACTTGAGGGAACATGGCTTTCAGCGATGGGAAACTGATGATCTGCTAATGTAAACCCTATTGCTAGAATAATATTTCATATTTAGATGGAAAATATGTGTGTAATAATATTCTGTGCCATCAGTGTATGATATAAACTGATTTAATTCTTGGAACATGCTCCTGTTTCTTTCTTGCTTAGACTATAATTTTTGTGTGTCTTTATAGGACATCAGATCAAACCATTCTAACCAGTGCTTGATGGAAAGACCATTTTGAAATTAAAACTTAATTTTTCAGGTTGTTTGGTGCTGGTTGTTTTTACTTATTCCCAGTTTAGATTTTGTTTACATGGATGAGATGATCTTATGAGAAGTAAGTTTGCTTTATTGTGCAAGATGTGTACTTTGATACCCTTTCAAAAAAATATCGCTGTACATTTAGTCAATTAGATTTTAAGGTGCTAGCTCATAACTTGGATGTATAGGATTTTCTTTTCAAATTGCTGAAGCCAGCGTAGTTGAACTAAATGGCTTCTGCACCCAAAAGTTATAAAACAATGTGCAGATCTTCCTTGGTACTAACTCAATAGTTAGATGCTTCTGTGACACACTGCCCTCTTGCAACATGAAGAAACGCCTGGTGACATGGTCAGATTCCGAATCTCACCTACATCTTTTCTCAACAAAGTTCTTTCAGGTAAGTAATGTAACTCCGATTTGGGCTATTTTAAAATAAACTACTTTGTCAGATACTACTTAAAAATCTGATTTTACTTTTAATGTTTACCATGGGCTATTCTTGCTATTGTAGTAGCAAGAATGGCTGTTGGTAAACATTAAAACTTCTCGCAAATTCACTAGATGGTAGATTGCTAGGAAAGAATGCATGTTGTATATCCTGTCTCCAAAGGTATTTAAGCACAATAATTTATTTTAACCCCCTACTAATCTGGTTCCTCCTATAGGCAATTAGCCGTTATTTGCCAAGACGAGATCCAGTTCTGAAGCCTCTCATCTATGAAATGGTCCTGCATGAGTTTTTGGAGAGTGACTATGAGGTACTGTATTCTGGCACATCCACAGTCATCGCCCATACTAGGATACCTTTAAAGAGCAATTAGAAAAATTGGTAGCAAACTCTGTTGTTGTGAAATGGAGAACTGATGCTAGGTTTAAGAAAGCAAAAATGAACGCCAGTAATATTTACAATAAACAATGAAATACTTATCGGTGGATCAGAGACCCATGTGTTGAGTGTGGTCAATTGTAATAATTTTTAGCGCACAGCCTAGGAGTCTGCTAGGTGCCTTAGAAAACATATAGAGCCCCAAAGAGGTTACTGTCTAGCAATTCTAGAGCAGATCTAGAGAAGTGATTATTCCCCTTTATTTAGCACTGGTGAGACCACATCTGAAATATTGCATCCAATTCTGCCCTCCCCTCCCATTATAAAAGGGATAGGGACACATTGGAGAAAGTCCAGTGAAGGGCAATACAAGTTATTAGGGGGCTGGAGCACGTGATTTACGAGGAGAGGCTGAGGAATGTGGGCTTATTTAGTCTACAAAAGAGAAGAGTGAGGGAGGGATTTGATAACAGTCTTCAGCTACCTGAAGGGGGGTTCAGAGAGAATGGAGAGAGACTGTTCTCAGTAGTGACAGAACGAGGAGAATGGTCTCAAGTTGCAGTGGGGGAGGTCTAGGTTGGATATTAAGAAAAACTATTTTATTAGGAGGGTGGTGAAGCACTGGAATGGGCTACCTAGGGGCGTGGTGGAATCTCCATCCCTAGAGGTTTTTAAGTTCTGGCTTGACAAAGCCCTGGCTGGGATGATTTAGTTGGGGTTGGTCCTGCTTTGGGCAGGGGGTTGGACTTCTGAGGTCTCTTCCAATTCTGTGATAATGGCATGATATGATTTAGACAGACAAGAAAAACAAAGTTGTTAGAAAAGGATGAATGGAGGATAAGATGAAGATGCTAAAGGACCCACAGATTGTGATTTTTTTGTGTTTTACCTGTTATATATCCTGAAGTATGGAAGCAATCTAAATATCCCTTCAGTCTTAGTCCAGAGAGTTTGGTGATTCTGAAATGTATCAATTTAGCAACAGTTAATTATTTAAAATTATATTCGTACTCATGGTATTTTGTTTTGGGACTAGGTCTGGAGAGGAGCTGACTGTCTTCATGTCTGGGTACTCAGTTCCTCACAAAAGGCACTCAGCACCTTATTAGATCAGACCTTCACATCTCAGTCCTGCAACTTATTATGGGGTGTGGAACACTGTGGCCATGTGGAGTCCCACTGAGACCAAGGGAGAGGGCTCCCGGCAGAATCAGCAATCCACTTGTGTATAACAAACTATACAGTAGAGGCATTATAAGCAGCCTGGGTCAGGGAATGTTTTATGACATTGTTTGGACTATGTTTTCAGAGAATTGCATGTTCGCAAACCCCAGTGGAACTGGACATAAATATGAATATTGTTTTTTCAGGGCACACCTTCAGTGGATGTATGCACACACTATGGCCATAAAAATGTGGACTTGGTGTCACTGTCAATAAGAACCACATCTGTGTCTGACCATTTATCCTTATATTTCTGGTTATTTCAACTATTTAAAGAAAAGTCTTTAGAAGATCAGTATTAAAATGTTCAGAACATTGTAGACATGCATTTAAAAGCAATGCTCATTACTTAAATTCATCTGTTTTGTCCTAAGTAGACTATCTCCTCATGGGAAATTCTGTTTTGACATACTAGTGGTGTAACAGTCTGTGTCTCATCCTACAAAGTCTTACGTGCATTAATTTAAATATGTGCACAAGTTTATGGAGAATCAGGATCTAAGAAAGCAAAACTTGTGCCCTCGATTTCATATTTTTGTGGGTGCCAAAAATATAACTGAAAATTGGCTGATGCAGTTTTAGACCACAAGCTGTGACTTTGATGCTTTGAAGTATTATTTAGACAGTTCTTTCTATTCTTTTAATCAATGATCTCTTCCACTTTTAGGGTTTCGCTACACTGATCAAAGAGTGGCCTGGAGATCTCTATAACAACACGATCATAGTTCAAGTAGTAGTGGATCACCTGAAGAAAGATCCACAGAATAGAACCTTGCTCAGCACTCTTGCAGAATTGTGAGTGCATTTTAAACTCCCTTACACAAACCCAACCGTTTTGAGATTTTATCTTTATTAAAATAGTCTGTTAGTATTTGACTGCCTCCCTTTGTTGAAATTACCATAATCCATTCTTTAGAATATCAGCCACTTTCATTTCCAGCTTTTCTGTGTAGATGTATTGATTGCAATTCTTAGCAATTCTTAACTCATTTCATCTAATGAAAAGGAAGTATAGATTGAACTTCTCTGGTCCGGCATGATTTTAGTTAGCCAGATGTTCACTTATCATGGGTGTGGCTAAGTTTTCCACACTCCCATAAAGTTTGTTTACAGCCAGCAGTCCTGGCTCCCAGTGTTCTGTGCTGTTATTTAGCTCTAATTTACCCCTAAATATTTTCTAAGAGCCCAATAAGCAGTGGAAGTGTGGGTAATGCTGCTAGACACTATTGACCTCCCATGGTTCAGCAAATTCTCTGACTCTGCACTGGTCAGATCCCAAGGGTGCTTGTCTAGAGAAGTTCATCCTGTAGTAAAGAATGAAGTTAAGGAATTCTGGTGCAAGATTGAATTTACCAGTTCCATTGCCAAAACAAATCTCTCCCATCTCTCTTCATTTTATTAGAGCAAGCATCTTTTGTGAGTGGTGTGGGGCTTTTTTGAAAAAAGAAAAATCAGGGAAATTTCTTTGTCTGTGAACGCTATCTTTGAAATGTATGACTGGAAATTCTGCTTTAACTTGATCTGGTTTAGTGGTAGGGGTCTGCCTTCCTGATTAAAAGTGTTGCACAAGTAGCCTCTGATGTAGTAAGTTTAGCTTATAGCTCAATGATGAACCCTCCCAGCCTTATAAGGTGTATCGCTGATGGCCTCTGCAGTGAGTTCTGTTTAGTTGTCCTTAGCCAAAAAGGACAGGGCCTCTCTTATGAGGCTTTGGAGCAGGGGTGGTACACAAATGAGAAGCAAAAAAAAAAAAAAAAAGCCGGAGGCCACATCTGGGCCTTAGGTTTTCCACCCCTGCTTTGTGGAGACTGAGAGAGGGATGGGAGAATCAGAGGCTTTTCTGGATGGAGGGTAGCAATGGGATGGAACAAAAATCCCATTTGTCTACTAATTTAATAAACAATTGAAAATCATAACACCTGGTTTTTCTTAGCTCATTATTTAATCTATAATTTTGTTCCTCAAAACAAGTAACGTATTTGGTTTCTATGGTAGTGCATGATTTTCTTAAATGCAAATGTGTATGGCTTTGTCTTATAATGTTATCTCTTTCAGATACACTTATGACCAACGCTATGGCAAAGCCCTTGAAATTTACCTAACCCTGAGGCATAAAGATGTGTTCCAGTTGATCCATAAACATAATCTTTTCAGTTCTATCAGAGACAAAATTGTTCTCCTCATGGATTTTGATTCAGAGGTATGATTTTTAATGATACTTCATCATTTTCTGAGCCATTAATATTTCTACAAGTGAGAAGTGAATATCTGTTAAACAGAATGCTTTATAAGCAGAATGGTATTCTATGACTAAACACATTTAGAGGTGACGTGAAGGCACTTAGTAAATATATTCGCATCCTCTGAGTCGAGAGAACCAAATTATCATCACACAACCCTGAGGGCAAAATCCTTCCTTCAAAACACCATAATGGATATGGGCTTTGGTATTCTGTTTTTTTCCTTCAGCCTCTCCTGTTGAGCATCTCCAAGGGTCTTGACTGCCGTAAGATTTTTGCTACATTTCTAATGAAATTAAGAAGGTTAATGAGCCAAAAAAAGTAATACACAGTTGGGGAAAGATAACTTCACATACATTTTGGATAGTCTCACCACTTTTCTCTCTGCAGATGACTGACTTGCTTACAGAAATACACAGTGATTGACCTAAATCTCCCCTCTCCCCCACCCTCCACACCAAAAAAGACGTTTGTGCATTGGGAAAAAGTCAGTATTCTTTACTCCGAACCAGATAAAATTCAGACAGATGAGCTTTCGTGGAATGATATGAGTTCTAGGGGATGGAATTTAGCCCACCTGTGGGTTGAGCCTGCAGCCCTGCTGTTGCTACACTGTTGAAGTTAAAACAGGGGCTTTCAAATGCTTAGTATCTTTCTTGGTATGCTGTCTTTACAAGTATGTAAGTACTGTGGGTCTGTAATTTCACTTGAAAGGTACAGTAGGTTATATTGTACGTGAAGATCAGGATTTTGACATGAGATTTGTATTTTTTTCTATCTTCCAACACTGGGCCCATTTGGTCTCACCCCTGATGCATTCATACCTTCCCCTGCATTGGTCTATATGAAGTTATGCTGTTAATATGTGCCAAGACCTCTTGACCTGGCAATTCATAGTCCTGGCACCCCTGGGTTTGCTGCATCAGCTATGAATGTTGAATACAAAGAAAAATTGCTTGAGCCTAGGCACCTAATTGCCTGAGTCCCAGCACTTCTTTCATTACAAATTAAGTGCTGCCTGGAGTCCCCCTGCATGACATGCTGTTGTGTGGATTTCCTGTACATACCTTATCCATAGCCAACCTGTCCCTTTGCAGTGTTATTATAGTGGTTCTGCTGCATGGGGTGCAATCTTGTGTGGCCCTTGATTTGATGGGCAAACTTGAAATGCATCATAGTAGTTGCTTGTAACACTGACTTCCATTCAATGCAGGAACTTATAAAAAGTAGTGAGCAGAATATTTGACAAATTTCATTTGAAGTAAATTAATTTATCTCTTTAAACACTTGCATTTTGCAGATTGGTGTCCAAATTAATGCAAATGAAAATTGTGTGTCTATCTGGGGGTCAGTAAGCGTCTTGCTAGATATCATATGCTTCTTTTGCTTACTCATTCTTAGCTATGCTCCTTTTACTTTGGTTTCAGAAAGCAGTGGACATGCTATTGGATAACGAAGATAAAATTTCAGTGAGTATAAACACTTCATTGTGTTGTCTGCACTATACATGTCTTCCTTTCAGTTCTGTAGGTGAGAGAACTCTCTCAGGGTTCCTAACCCATGTGTTTACTTTTTTATTTCTTTAGATTGACAAAGTTGTAGAAGAATTAGAAAACAGGCCTGAATTACAACATGTGGTAAATATTAACATTTGCTGTTAGTTTATTTTTGAGTTGAAGAAGCTTTCTGTTGGAGCTCTCTTGGAATACATTTATAAATACAGGTTAGTTATTGCAGATCTATCTCCTACTGCAATAGCTGGGAATAAAGATGAGCAGCATTGAAGTCTTTTAGCCATTGGTCAGCTACACGAGTGGATGAAAAGCAGGTTGTCTCTTCCTGCCATTCTACTTCAATTTTGACCTAAAGACATTTGGAGAATAGTAAAATTATTTTTAATGATTCTTCTGTGCTCTTGATGACATACTGAGAGCTACCACCTATGGTTCTGGACTGTAAAGCAGTCCTGGTTTTCTGTCAGTTAATTTCCCCATTGCATCCATTCTCTCATTCCTTACAGTAGAAATTTTGCCTAGGGTGATGCTTTCCTTTCAGCTAATACAGGGGAGTATGGGTGTAACTTATAGTTGCAATCTTCCGCTTGATAGAAGAAGAGAACCATTTGGATTTCCAGAGCAATAACTTCCATGAAGCATATGTCTCTTTCATTCATTCAGAACTACAGTCAACCTTAAACTGTATTAGGGAGGGATACTTATGCTGTTTAGCATCCATTGCTGATGTAGATAGTAGAGGGTCAAAGCTTTAACGGTATTGGGGTCAATTAAGTTGTATAATAGAGATGTAATTGTAGCAGACACACGTACTAAACATAGTCTGGTCTTATAAAGCAAAGAGGATTAACTGTATGTGCAACAGCTCTGTGTGTGCATCGGTTTCAAAGTGTTATATGTGCTTCCCTTTGAATAAAAATTACCTTTAAAGGAATTCTCTTTAATTCCATAAATAAGGGGAGGAGCTTAACACATGCTATCTGTAGTTAATTTATAGTCTGCAATGCCTAATTTAATGCAGCTATTACTGGCATGCTGTGTTTTTCATTTGATTTGTTTTTCATCAATCAATTGAGCAAATTCAGAAAAATAGAAAGTTTCCCATAATGTTTTTTCTTCTAAATGTTTGGTGAAATAGGAAAATGCAATATTTTATGAACTGAAGAGTAACAAAAATATAACACCTATCTCAAAGTCCTGACAGAAATAATTGCTTAGCAGAGCTGGCCTTGGATATTGCCATCATGGTGTACAGTAGGAAAAACCTGAAGCAGTGTTCTAATAATAAAGATTTGTATTCTATCCTACAATGTGCTTTTGGGGTTCAGTCTCAAGGAAGTTATCAGTAAGGTTAGTTTATGGTAAAAGTTGCACAGTGCAACCATTATTTTATCAATGCTTGATACTTTTTGTTCTTTCAGTATTTGCATAAGCTTTTCAAAAGAGATCATCATAAAGGACAGAGGTACCATGAGAAACAGATCAGTCTGTACGCTGAATATGATCGTCCAAATCTGCTGCCATTTCTCAGAGACAGCACACATTGTCCCTTAGAGAAGGTAAGCCAGAGATCTAAGAGTTGTCTGTCTTGAACTGATATGTCAGCTGCTTGCTGTTTTGCAAATTTGTTAATGTGTGTACCGCTGCCCTCTACTGGGTCAAAAGAACTGCTCAAGATACCGACAGCTAACAGATTTCTCAAAAAACAACGCATAGTCTTGCAGCACTTTAAAGACTGACAAAACATGTAGATGGTATCATGAGCTTTTGTGGACACAATCCACTTCTTCCATTACACAAGAAACAGGAGTTTTTGTGTTTCTGAAGCAAAGAGTCCTAAGTTTGTTTTTTCCATGCTGCCTATGTATAGTTTAGCTATTGGCCATGGTGATTATGTAGTTCTGGCTTGCAGTAAGAAATCAAGACAAATATCACAAAGTTTAGGGCTTAGTTTTATTGTTTGAAAGCAGAGCACATACATATGTAGTTTTAGAAAGTTAGTTGCACACATTTAGTTATCTATTATAAACATGAAAAACTTTAGGTCTATTTAACATCCCATTAGGAAGAGGGGAATGGCATTAATAAACAAAAAGTTCACTTCGGTGTTTAAACTGGTATTCAGTTTGTGATTTCACTGCCTCCCTCGCACCACAGTCAGCCCCAGTTTTCACTTCTGATTGACCAGAGGCAGGGAGAAAACTGACAGTCACAGTTTATTGGGTTGTTGGACTTTCATTGATTGAAGATGGGCATTGTGGAATGTTATTTGCTTGAGCTTTAGTTCTCAACTTCCTCAAAAGAGATGCAATCACTCTGTGACCTATCAAATTCCACAGTTCTTTTTCCACAAAGAATCATAGGAGTTGTCACAGGAAGAAATTTTTGGAGGTGTGGAGGCCTGGGGTGCTGTAGGTTGGTGCTGCAAACTGCCTCACCTAACTTGATTGTCCCTCAGATTTGTGTGTTGTGTTTTGTTTTGTTTTTTAAAAAAGGTTCATGTGGCTTCTTAAAAATAATATGGCTCATGATTACATCAAGAGAGTAGGAGACAGGATTTTCTGTTTCCAAATTACTTTGGCCCTGCAAACTTGCGTGAACTCTACTTTGCGTACCTCAAAAGTTTCATTTATTTTAATGATACTCCTCAAAGGAATAAAGTTGCTCATATGTGTAACTGCTTGCAGGATCAGGGCCTTTGTGGCATCAGATATCATCTCTCTCTTGGCTGATTTGTAAAACAAGTTCAGTACAGGCAGTCCCCGAGTTACGCGGCTCCGACTTATGTTACGAACGGGGCCCTCCCTCTCCCTGGTCTCCAGCAGACCAGGGAGAGGAAGCAAAGCGGCGGAACATGCGGGCAGCGGACAGGGCTGCCCGCGTGCTCCGCGGCTTTGCTCTGCTTTGCTCCCCGTCCCCCTGGTCTGCAGACCAGGGGGACGGGGAGCAAAGCAGAGCAAAGCCGCGGAGCACGCGGGCAGCCCTGTCCGCTGCCCGCATGTTCCGCGCTGAATCTGGACGCCAGTTCTGACTTACATACAGATTCAACTTAAGAACAAACCTACAGTCCCTATCTTGTACGTAACCCGGGGACTGCCTGTACTTGTCTACTGGATACAGATAGTAGAATTTGAAAGTCCATGCTGTCACAGGATATAATTCATAATGTTCATTAAAAAATGCCCCAATTGCTGATAATTTAAGAAATTGAATGGTGAAAGAATGCAAGTCCCAGTGATTTCTCTGGTAATTTTTCTAAACAAAAGAGCTTTTGACCAAGCTCATAGCTGTGTCCATTGATTCACACTGATTCAACAGAGTGATATTTGGAGTTTCTGCATGTGCTGATTATGGTGTTTTATATATGCGTTGTGTTGTGCTGGGAGTTATATGGATTTGTGCAGCAGTAAATGAGGGAGGTGTGCTGCAGCTGAGGCTGGAGTCACAGCACGGGCTCCTCATGCCATGGTAGGAGGGGCAGGGCTTAGCTCCTGCCCCATGTGCCACAGGATATCAGCTCGTGTGCCGCTTATGGCATGTGTGGCAGGGCAGTTGCCAACACCTACTCTAGCCCTTCACGTGGCTGATAAATAATGAGAGGAACAAATATTTACAATGTACCAATGTTTTCCACGCCAATTAACCAGGCATCCTGTATAAATTCTATATAATCACATTAAAGATGCATAAATCTATTCTCTCCCTCTCTGTCAATGATAAACTTGACAAGAAGAAATTATTTTCTTACTAAAGAAAAGCACAACCTTTCTGAGAGAGGGGGGGAAAAACACTGTTGTTCACAGCGCAGACATCCTTATATCAGAGAAACTGCAAGAGAAGAATGTGTGTTCTCTGCTTCCCTCTACAGGGAACATTCTAGTGTATAAACCTGCCAGATGCAGTAATTGTAGAAGACTGTCTATTTTTACCTTCATTACACAGTGTAAAAAGACTGGCCAGCTGTGGTTTTACTGTTACTCACTTACTTGTTTTGGGTTTTTGCCGTGTGAAGAACTTCCCAGTCTGACTTTGTGCGCAACAGGAGAGGGGTGTTTTTTTTCCTCTCTGTTCTTTCAGTCCATTCATCCATCTATGTGAGAGGGGAAGGGAGACTTAATCCACCCTTGTATCTGACTTTAATCTAATATTCTCCTTTTGATCTCCATGAGTCACATTCTTTACTAGTATAAATTGGCATCGCTCCATTGACATTGCTGTACCAGTGTACCCCTGCAGAGATGTTGACTTTCATACTCTGATTTTACTGATGTCTGAATGAACTCTTATTAATATCTCTTCTAACATTTGTCCTACTTTCCATGGATGGCTGGAAGAAAACCTTGTTTTCAAAAACTTGACTCTTGCACTGGGTTAGCCTGTTAATACATATCAATTCATATGTTTCTTCTTTTTGCCTTCTTGTCCCTTTCTCTTTGTACTGTATGTATCTTCTTTAGAATACCTGCAAATGTTGGTCTCTTCATTTAGCCTGCTGACTAGCTTCAGGGTGACTTTTTCTAGTACTGGATATGGAAGAGGAGGAACTACTTTCTCTGTTCTGGCCAGAGGACACTCACAGAAAGCCCTCTTCCTGGCCAGTTTTCTTCCCAGAGGCTAGAGGTTCCCAAATTTGGAACACTGATGGTCTGTGGAGAATTTGCTGGTCACATGGTACAGAATCTCCTACTTCTCCAGCTGCTAAATCACATCAAAGCAGCTAAAATATTTTTAATATTACTTTTCCATGTAAGCCTTTACTTTAGTTGCCTTTAGGAGGTTACGTGATTGGAAGGGGGAGAAGGTCTGAGAGACAAACCCTCTATGAGCATGTGTCCATGCTAGGGTAAAAACCATGAGATTCCCCACTATAGTTTATTTTCTGAGTTCCTTGCTTGCCTCAGGAATGTGAACTCTGAGGATATTCCTCAGTTTGAGTCTTTGATATAACCTAAACTGTAGCATTAAGAACCCTACCCCACCTTTAGATAAATGAAAACAAATCAGGGGCAAGGATGTGCCAAAAAAAATCTCTTTTCTCAATTCATTCTGAAGTCTCTGCCTATATGTATTAATGGAGCTGTCCTCTTGTCCAGTTGAGTAATACACCTTTATAGAAAAATATCTTTTGGCCTTTCTAACATTTGTTGATGAGAAATGTTATGGCATGGTTCCTCATATTCTTTTTTTTCCCCTCTGAAATTTAAGGCTCTTGAAATCTGCCAACAAAGGTACTTTGTAGAAGAGACGGTCTATCTTCTGAGTAAGTAACTTTCTTTGTAATAAATTGCAACATAATTTTAATCTTGTCATAAAGTTGGTGCTGTGAAATATGCATGAAGCGTTAAGTCCTGTCATGTAACACATTTGTTCTCCCAGAAACAAGTTGGTCTGTAGTCAAAACTACTTTACATATCCATCCCTTCCCAGGAGACAGGCAATTTTGTATTTAATCTGAAGTGGAGCACAAGATCAGGTCCAAGAGGTGAATATAATGGAGCCTTTGGATAATAATGAAAAAAATGTTGTTAAACTTTACATCTTTGTAAGAGAGAATATGCCAAAGAAACCCACCACAGAAGCATTTAACTTCAAAAAGGGAAACTACAGAAAAGTGAGGAAGCTATTTAAGCAGAAATTAAAAGAAAGAGTTACTAGACTGAAATGTCTGCAAGATGGAAGACATTTAAAAAAATTATCTGAGACTCAAACTAAATGTATGCCCTCAATAAAAAAAGGACCAGAAGAAAAAATAGTGCCACCATAGCTAAAAAACCAAGTAAGAAAGTAAGCTAGAGGCAAAAAAGTACCCTTTAATAATTGGAAGTCAAATCATATAAAGAAAAATAGAAAGGAACATAAACTGTGGTAAGAAAAGTGTAAAAGTATAATTAGGCAGGCCAAAATGGCATTTGAGGAGCAATTAACAAAAGACACAAAAACAAACAGCACATTTATTTATAAATAAACAAAAACTTACTTTTATTACTTGGCAGGCTTTAAATAACAAATAGCGAGTTTTCAAAATGGAGAGAAGTAAGCACAGGTTGAACCTCTGGTCTGACAACATCTGTGGTCTGGCATTATTTTAGTTAGATGGATGTCCACTTTTCATGGGTGTGGCCAATTTTCCCGTAGTCCCATAAAGTTTGTTTACAGCCACCAGTCCTGGTGCTCCGTATTCTGTGCAGTTATTTATCACTAAATTACCACTAAATGTCTTCTAAGAACACAGTAAGCAGTGGAAGTGTCAGTAATGCTGCTAAACAATGTTGGCCTAACATGGCTCAGCAAATTCTCTGGTTTGGCACCAGGGCCGGCTTTACTAAGTGCGGGGCCCGATTCACGGGGGTGGGGCCATGCGCCCGGGAGCGGGACCCTCTGAGGTGCGGGGCCCCCCTCTTAGGCACTGGGCCCGATTCGGCCAAATTGGCCTAAAGCCGGCCCTGTTTGGCATGAGTCAGGACCTGAGGGTCCCAGACAAGAGAGGTTCAAACTGTAAAAAGTTTACATGATACAAGCCATGGTTCATTCCACTGTAATCCAAGTACTTTTATAGCCATTGTTGTTTAGTATTATTTAGTGATCTGAAAATTTTAATTGCTGGCTTCTTTTCAAGAAGGGAGAAGCAATGAAAAAAGGATGGAGAGTGTGAATGGGGGAAGACAACTTGTGCACGCCCTCTGCAGTTTGTTGCCCCTGTTAAAATCACTAGTAGACAGCAAAAGGTGTTCCATGGAATTAAATTAGATAATGTCAGCCATGGTAAATCTGTGGCAATGTACGGGTTTAAAACACCTGATTGTCATTCACAGACCTTTCACAATTCTTGTTAGCCAGAGTTGCTGAGGGTCCAATTTTCAGAGTAGTGGAGTACCCAGAACAACATGTGAAATTAGGGGAGGAAGGGGAGCTATGAATGTTCAACATATTTGGATGGGCCATTTAAACGTACGTGTGTGTGTGTGTGTGTGTGTGTGTGATTTAAAATTAACTTCTTCTGCTTCAGATGTACCTGCAGTGCAGGAGAGAAAGAACTAACATCACTTTTCTTTACCTCCCTCTGTGTAATAACAAAAAGCTCCGATTCATTAAAACATGCCATAATCCTAGTGAATGTAATGGGATTTGAGCAGAGGCTTTAATTAAGTACATGCGTAAATGCATTGTTGAATAATGAGGAACTTGAGCATTTGTTTAAAGTGAGGCCCCTGCTTAAATGCTTGGCTGAATTGGGATCTAAGACTTCATCCTGTTGTTGTTCGAGGAACAGTATAAGCAGCACGGACACTTATCACAGGGTGCTTTCAGTACATATTTCTTTTGTGTTTTTATAATTCCTTTTTTTTATAAATACCTTTTTTCTTCTAGGCAGAATGGGTAATAGCCGGAGTGCACTGAAGATGATAATGGAAGAATTGCATGATGTAGATAAGGCTATTGAATTTGCCAAGGAACAAGATGATGGAGAACTATGGGAAGATCTCATTTTATATTCTATCGACAAACCACGTAAGCAGAATAAGCTGCAGGCTGTGTGTGTGTGTGTGTGTGTGTGTGAGAGATGTAGTAAGCTGGGAGATTGGAGGGCCATTAAAATTATCCTTGTGGCTGGCAAAAAGAATATGTTCCGATTCTTTTATGGACCCATGCCAGATTACCTAGGGCAAAAGGTTGTATTGCAGTGTAAACATTTTTAATATTAGCATATTGTTGAGGAAAAAATCCTCTAGTGTTGCAGCATTGGAGGGTGAGAAAGGGCAAGTATTCAAGAAACCGATGCTGGCATACAACTGTTAATAAGTATGTTGTTACCTACAGAAATTCAAATATATTATCTTTTAGGTTGATTTGAAGTGGTGATGTATTTTTATACCTTCTGAAAAGTTGGTCTTCAGTCTACATTGATGGAAAGTCAATTGCCAACCTATTGTATATGTTTTCCTACAGTGTATGGGTCACTTTGCAAATTTCTGAAAATCAACCTCAAGCTAGATCTTTCTACCTTTTCACCAGATTAAATGTATTAAATTATTTACTTTGTCTGGTGAAAACAAAAGCTCTTTAATATTGGTTGGTGTCGGTGTGTTTTTCCCATTTGCCCTAGTCTTAGCATCTGCTCTAGGTTTACAGCTCAGCTTGGTTGCTGTGAGAATGTCAACACAATAGCATTTTTTATTAGAGAGCGGATTCAAAAAAGATTATATCATTGGGAATTTAAATTATTTGGGGAATCTTTAAAGCTGCCTACAGTATATGACTGTATCTTCTTTTGGATTTTTTTAAGCCAGGTCTATAAAACTATTTTTGTTAGGCCCCTCTTTTCCCAGGTACTGAATGGCTCATGGGATTACTGTTGGGATACACAGCTTTTCACCACTTGGATACTAATTCAGATCAGAACCAGGTAACCAGGAATCATTACCATTTCCTAACCTGAGAGAGATGAGTTTTTTGTGTATTCAAGTCCAATAGTTAGTGGGCAGGAAACCATCACCAAGCATTTTACTAATTAGCCCCATTACTGAGGAGTGAAGGTTTTTTAATGTTCAGGAGTTAAACACATGAGCAAATGGAGAAAGCGGCCCCACACAACCTTGAGAATTCTACCAGCCCCCTTTGCCTGTGTATGCAGCCATTCCAGTGAACCTGCTCAATTCCTGGACAGAGGGAAGATGCTGGATCTTGAGTTGGTTTCCTCCTGAGAGCTCAATGTGGGAGCAAAAGGCCCTACTCAGCACAGCATGAAATAGCATTTCACTTCCATGGGGAAAAGCCTACCTGAGGTTCGCAGACATGCTTAAAATATTTAATTCTTTATCACATGCTACCAAAGTAATCATGCACTGAAATGAACCTTCTGGTTCAATGTGTTCAGTGCCCCAAAACAGTCAACACTGGCACACTACAATTTCAAATTTGGAGGGTGGTGGTCTTTTTTGAAGACTTGGCCCATTACTACTCTGATTTCCTTTTCAGAGGCTCAAAGACTTCTGTGTTATTCTGCCACTTACAGTATGTCTCTTGTTTTCTCCCTCAAGAGAGAGATATGAATGTGACTTAACCTTGCCTCTTAAGGAAGGAGCTGCCATAAAATCAGCAGAAGGCTACTGGCTGTTACTAGCACTCTTATATTGGGCATCTTACTGGAGCATCATCTTACAAGTTTTTTACATCTTTCTTTCTACAGCTTTTATTACTGGCTTGTTAAACAACATTGGAACCCATGTTGACCCCATTCTTCTGATTCACCGCATTAAGGAAGGCATGGAAATTCCTAATCTGAGAGATTCACTAGTGAAAATTCTCCAGGACTACAATTTGCAGGTAAGTGCAGTTCACATGCGCTCTTTATCTCTACCCCTGTGGTATTCATCCTCAAAAGAACTGAAAAACCACTTTGTCACTGAACAGCCAGTGACGGCCACAGAGTAAATTGGGCAATCGTGATTTATGATACTGAGAGGTTGGGGTTGTGGCACTGCGTTATTTTGACTCAACAATGTCTACACTATGAGCCAAGAGTGGGTTCTCCTTCTCATGTACACGTACTCACCTTAGTTCTCACATTGGTAGCGTGATTATAAATACCATTGTGGCCACCGTAGCACTGGTAACAGGAATAGAAGCATGGAGTAGAAACTTACTTGGCATCATTGAGTATGTAATCAACGAGGCTTAGCCATGCCTCCACTGCCGTTTCTCATATTACCGCAGCTACACCACTATTGAATAGGCATACCCGAGCAAGTGAATCACATCCCTGGCTCATAGCATAGACACAGCCTCCATGTTGCCATGTATTGATGCAAAATCTTGACCAAAAATATTAGAAATGAATGTCTGGACTTCACTCAGCCACAATTTTTGTTGCTGTTTGCAGTTCTGATTCTCTTCTCCTCTTTTGCTTCCTGACCGCTAAGCAGAATTTGGACAGAGGCTTTGAACTGTTTTATATAATACTCTTCATTACATTATGTCTAGGGAGTCCTGTGACCACCATTTATTTTGCTTGGCCCAACACAAGATGGAGCATGGGGCATGTTAGCAAGACCTCTGCTATGTTTGAATGGTACCTATTAAGTATCATGTGCTTATGTAAAAGGAAGCAAATTATGCAAACCAAGTCAGTTTCCCTGGGTGTCGTGAGCCATATGCATACTATTGTGGGATAAGGAAATTCAGGTACACTCAAACATATTTGCACTCACCTACATAAGTAACCGTTCGATTGATTAGATTGCTGTATATAATAGCCAAAAAAGTGCCCATCCAGAAATCTTTGTCATTGTTTAAAATAACTGTAACAAAAACAAAGTTCTATAAATACTATGTCCCAAACATAACGCAGTAGGCAGGTTATACCTGTCACTCCTATCGCTCCCATCTTCCCTTGCCCTCTTTGGACACCTAGGCAGACAGATGGTTCCTATAGGGTTTCATGATGGTCATCTGCGTAGTTCCCCATAAGCTGCATGGCCAAACAGCTTCCCATTAAGCCCTGTGCACAGGCTCAGGGCTGCAGTGGGAAAAGATTTCTCCCCAAGCCCTGAAGTTGCCAGGGCCAACAGGAAGGAGCCCCACCCCACTGGCCCCAGCAGGGAGCAGCCATGGCTGGTGGAGGGGACCCCAATAGGGAGCCATAGTAAGCCTGAGCCTCAAGCCCTTGCCTTACCTTCAGCCCTTCCCAGCCCTTTACACCCTAAAGCCCTCATCTCCGGCCCCACCCCAAAGACCACACCCCCAGCACAGAGCCTTTACCTCCTCCTGCACCCTAACCCTCAACTCTGGGAGCCTCCCCTCCATCCTTTCTTCCCAAACTCCTCAGGCCCAGCTCCGCCTCAGAGCCTGTACCCTGAGCCAGACCCCTTACACTCCAACCTTCTGTCCCAGCCCTGAGCCCCTCAACTCCAACCCCATCCTAGAGCCCAGCTGGAGCCCTCACACTCCTGTATCCCAACCCTGTTCCCCAGCCCTGAGTCGTCTCCATGCTCAGAACCTCTTGGCCCCACCCTCTGCCCCATTAATTTTGTTATATGCACCAATATTAAACTGGTGAGTCACACTCCGCCTCCATGTTGCATATCACCTCCAAATTAGTGCACATAAAATCCATTCCATACAGGGGATGGAAAACCTTAGAGGGAGCGCTGGTCATCAGTCCTTGGTATTTCAGTCCAAGGCTTGTTCTGCTGACCTGTCAAGAAGCTTTTACCATGAGACTCTTTTCAGGTAAATCAAAAAGGGATCCAGCTTGAGTATTTTTGCTGATTGCACACATGGTAAAATGGTCTGGGGAGAGGCATCTTTCACATAGGGAGGCTCTAAGTCTATAAAAGCTCCTCCTTGTTTTCCTTAAGCATTTTAGTTAATGATTTTAGAAAATATAGGAGCTTTTTAAGTAGTGGATTCTTTCTGTGCTTTCAGCATATGTTTATGTAGTTAATTATATAGTCACTTGTGGTCTGTAGTGATTTGCATTGATCTCATCAGATATAATTGCTTTTTAAGTAAATAGCTTCTTAAATATTACATTACATACAAGAGTCATGTAGTAACTTCTTCGCTGCTAATTCGACTCCTTCCTTGCTACCTGCACTGCTGATTCTGTAGTTACAGTGGTCTCTTGAAACACAGTGAACTAAGATGGCCTGACCGATAGGAAAAATAACACAAAAGATGCATTGTGCATAATATGTCTGGCATGTTAAGTGGCAGTTATGTGGCTTAAACAAAAGCTCATTTAATAGGCTATAAATGTTGAGTATATTTTAAAAAAAGAATTTGCTCTTTTCATTTTTGTCTTTAAATAAATTATTTTAGGATAAAAGCAATCTATTATAAACTATGCAAATGGATATCTAAAATAATCTATTAGCCTTGAAATGCATTGTGGTTTTTAAGTGGCTTCATTTTAAATAGATCCAGATAGCTTTAGGGCTAAACTATATATCTAATAGCACTAACAAAAGTTAGAAGGCTTAATAAAATGTCTGTTGGGCTTGCTAATACAGTAGTGTAGAAAAAGAAAAACAAAACAAGGACTGGTTCTCCTTGCAAAAGAATCTATAAGCTACTGTTTGAAATAAGACTACTGCTAAATTGTCATTGATGGTGTAAAATTCACCTTTGCCAGTGGGGTCTGAATTCAGTGTGTTCATATTTTCCATGGGCGTAAAATGATGCATCACCATTGATTTCAATTAAATTATATAACTGAGGAGTATTTGACTGTTAATTTGTGCAGCAAACCAAAATTATCTGTTTGCCAGACCTTATTAATAATAATGCTTTTTTTGCCATTTTTCATCCTTTCATTTGAAAGCACTTTAATGGTGTTTACTCACAATTATATCTCGTTTTCCAAAAAAGGAAACTGAAAACAGAGATGAAATATCTTATACAAATGCCACACAAGAAGTAACTAGTGTAGCGAAAAATAGAACCCATTCTCCTGACTTCCAGGCCCTGGAGCCCACACTGGCTCTGACAAAATCTTCTCTGGAGTCCAAAAAGGGAAAACTGTTATACTCCTTGTGACAGGGTCAGAGCAGACGGCTAAAGTAGGGAGTGGGGGGAGATCTATAAGCCTCAGACTGAGGAGAACTCTGTTCCAAAAGTAATAGCGAGGGGCTGGTTTAGAACCAGCAGAGGCAATAAGGGGCAGAGGAACACCTGGGCTACTTGACCAGGCCTGCAGAGTCAGGCCACCCTTGACTAATTAGGACACCTGTGGGGTAATTAAGAAAACCAGTTCAGACTGGCTATAAAAGAAGCTTTGCCTACAGTTGGGGTGCGTGTGTAGTTGAGAGGACAGAGGAGGTGCCGCTGGGAGTAGGAGGAAAGGAGATGACGACAACTGAACACTAGGAGGACGAACTAGAGAGAAGGAAGGTGTGGGGACGTAGCCCAGGGGTCTTGGAGCTGTGCTATAGCAGGTGTTGGGGACTCACATAGGCAGCTGCTATTACAGGGCCCTGGGCTAGAACCCAGAGTAGAGGGTGGGCTCAGGTTCCCCCCCAACACCCACCTCCCCGTTTCCACTTGGAGTTTATTCTCTGTTTTACCATATACTGGCCGATGATGAAAAGAGCTCTACAAACAGCAAACTAAAGCCCTAGGCATGGTGCCTAAAATTATGGGCTGCTGTGAGCCTCTGGTGCAAACAAATCCATCAGGAAGTGCAGAATCTACCGAGTTTTTGTAGGAGCTTTGTTAAATCCTATATTATTCATCTGTATGATATTAACTAAATGGTCTCCTTATTTTCTAACCCTAAGAAGACTCTTGGGATCAAAAAGGGAGTGAATTTTCTGCACTTGTGGGAGCGTGTGCCATAAGCATAAAATACCAATCCTCATTCTTTTAGACTTCTCTAACTTCTCTATCTTGCTAGCCCTAGAACCTACCAACACAGTCTTGAAATTAGGGGATAGCTAGATGTTATAACCCATCAGTTTCAGCTGACAAAGAGCATTTCCAACTTGAGAAGATGACTAGCTAATGGGGCCAAAATTGGTCCTATTACAGCCAAGCTATCAGATGGTTTCCTGTTCCGAACTACCTAAAGCATTAGAGCGTGACATCTCACTCCTTCTGTGAGCTGATGAAGAAAGGCAGCTTGTCAAGTGATTGGCAGTGGCCTCAGTGGTAGGGTTTCAGCCCTTCAAGCATTATCCTTAGATCAGGGAGGATATGTTTATGGCAGCTGGAGCTGAAGAAAAAACAAAGCTTCAATTTGGGTGTTCAAAGACATTTGTTGAGAGTGAAAGTGAAGGCTGACTAGGTTTGACTTCAAAAAGTCATCGTCTCTTATGAAAGATATGGGATTATGATGGTTGACTTTACAGTGTCTTCCAGGTAAGGTGGCACCAGCTTGTTCGGTAAAATGAATCAGGGTGGCAGCATTGGCCAGAATCTGCAGGATCAGTTGCCTCAATGGAAAGATCACTGCAAGATGCTTTTCACTTGTCCACTGCTTGCAGTCCTCCTTCCACTTGCGGGGCAGGAAATTCCAGTAGAGCCACCTTCTTCAACCAAAAAGAGAGAGAAATCTCAGTCTATCATCTGAAGTCTGGGAAGGCACCAAGGTTTTGTAGCATTACTCCTACGTGTCTGAATACAGGTGACAGTATTGTACTGTAACTTCACAGTCCGTCCTAGACCACTAGGCATACTAATAATATTCCCAATGACTGGAAGAAGGGGGGTTATTCTGCCTCTATTCAGAAGGATAATGAGGCTGAATGTAGCAGCTATAGAAGTTGTGGCAGGGGGCTGGTTGACAAGCTCTTAATCAGCCCCTGCCACTCCAGTCCCGATCAAGG